TGCTGTTGCTGATGGTGCCTCATGTTTGAAGATCCACTGTCCAAGTAGGGCAAGCTGAGTGCCTGCAATTTTTAGGAACGGTAAGCATCGTGAAATCAACTTTTTCGCTCCCACTTTTTTCAATACGGTATGTTTGGTAAGGGTTTGTCGCGATAACTATACTCGTTAAATCACGTAACAATGACTAAGTCGAGGTGCAACATTATGATCACAACGATATTTTTTATTGTATGATCTGTATTCTACTTTGAATCGTTACGATTAGATTATATTTATCCGGGAGAGGGGCATCTCTGAGAATTTGCATGGTTTTCTGGGATTTTAGTTTGAAGGAAAAAGAATGGAAAGAAAACATCACCTCAATTTGGCTTTGAAGGAATCTGATGTACCCTATGGCTTCTAACAGGACAGAAGCTGTGTCAGTCTGCAAAAAAGGAGGAAAGAAATGAAGAATGAAACCACACCACAAACATCCAAACACATGTTTTTCTTCCTTTTTTTTTCCCTATGTTCTTCCTTGTCTTCTTTTTACAGCTTTCAAGAAACAAGGGGTATCACAGACACTAAATTGGTAAAGGAGGATGTGAAAGAAAGCCCAAATAGAGAAGCTAGCTAATAGATAGCCATCTCAATACTACTATTCTTTCAGTAGATTCAGAAAGTACAACTGAGTTAATCAATGCCGATGGGTAACCGTCATAAGGCGAAAACAATTTTATAGATTATATCTCGCGTGACATGATCAGCACGTCCTGACACCTACCCATCGCCAGAAACGAAGCCCCACTTTAAATCTAGGGTTACCGATAAAATTAAGCAGAGATAAGTAAGAATACACACCTTCCCAAATGGAGACACGATCTGGTGAAGAGAAGTGATCCTATCTCCCAGTTTCTCCTTTCTCACCTATTCGTTAATTTTCGACGGAAAACCGTACAAGAGAATTAATGACCTAGTCGTGATAATAATTTTATACTTTCACGAGATATTTCTTTTTTGGTTTGTGGACAAAGAATAATGCATATGATGCGAAGAAGGGAATCAAAGGTACTTGTGAGTAATAGACAATCAAGAAAGGACAATAGAGAGCCACACCATATATCTCCCTTTTAAGTTGTTTGTGTGTGTTTGTTCATATCTATGTATGTGTCCATATATACACATGCTATTCTGTGCAAATATACACTTCATTTCTCAATTGTTTTTAATCTTTCTCTGTATATAATAATAATAATTCATAGTAATTAATCTTGCAGCTTAACCTCCATTAATTTACCTTGAAGGGAGATTGGGTTGAAGTAGTAGTAGAAGAAGAAGAAGAAGGCTGAACCCTAGCTTTCTTCGCTGCAGCCCCACCACCAGCTCCAGTAGTGCCGTTACTCTGAAAATTATCATTATTATTAAACCACCAAAAAAAGGAAGAAAAGGGGGAAGAAAAGTCAACATAGTTAATCATGATTTGAGAAGAGGACTAATCCAGCTTTTTGATCAAACAATAACCAGTAATCATCACCACCAGAAAAAAAAACCCACTTCAGAAGAAGGAAAAAAAAAGCAGTATTAACACCAAATTAAGCAACGTATTAACAACTAATTAATCACGGATTTGTATATAGCAAAACCCTAGCAAGCTAGTAGGTTCTACACAAAAAAACTAGATATAGTACGTCGTCGTATATACCTCCGATGACAATCGATCCGGCGGAGGAGGCGGTGGATGATGAGACCAATCAACAGCTTGGCGGTGGTGGTGATGGAAGTGGCGGCCGTCGTCGTCGTTGTCGTTTGCATGATGGTGGTGGCCATATGTGCTTCCTCCATAGCTTTCTTGCTTCACTACTTCAGCCTTGTTGTTGTTGTTGTTGCTCAGCATTAGCTTCTGCTGTTCTTCCCAGCGCTCGTTCTCAAACTTCTTGCTGGCTTGTTGGAAATGGCTCATCGTCATTTGGTTGCCTCCCTTGATCTCTTCCTCCCCAGCCATCAATCCTCCGCTTCAAACCCACAGGAAAAAAAAAAAAATAAAAAAAAAAGGAAGAATCACAACGAGTTAGACCAAACTAGAGATTTACGTAGTAAAGAAGGAAGTATATATGTATATATATCATTTTCCGGCTATGGTTTTAGTACGAAATACTGCAAATCTGTACTCGAAAAGTAGTAATTACCACAAACAGGTTAATCTCATTTGCTGTTACTCAAACAAGCATATGAAACGTATGCTTGCATATTCGTCCATAGGTCAAATACAAAAGGGGGGTTTTGATTCAGTAGTAATAGCACTGATTTCGAGCTTTTCGAATCGCTTAAATAACACCTTAATGATTTTAGATTGGGTGAGAAAAGAGAGTATATATTACAAGAGGAGTTGGCTCCATGAGTCGGGGAGGTGGTGGTGGACTTGTTGTGCGGCGGCGGCGGTGGGAGGAGGAGCGTCGTGCCAAGAAGTGAAAGGAAGTGAGGAGGCGGAGGAAGAAGGTGAAGGGTCGAGGAAAAGAGATGATGGGTAATTGTTTGGGAAGAAGTTGTTTGGAATAAGCGGGTTTTGATGGTGGTGGTGAGGCGACGACGTCGTAGTTGGAGGAGGAGGAGGAGGAGGTCTCATGTTCCACCAGTTGTTGGGGTTGCCGGCGGCCATCATGATCGGCTGCTGCACCGGCGAGCTCTGCAACACGTGCCCGCGATTCATAGCAAAGCAAGTAAACTTAACCCTTTTTTCGCGGTCTTTGGGAGAGGGAAAGTCTCCTCTTTGATGGAAGGGGAAGCGAAGGGACTTGTGGAGTGTTTGAAGGGGATTTAAATGAAATGTGAGAGAGAATAGGAGAAGAAGAAGAAGAAGATGAAGAAGAAGAGAAGAGGAGCCTTTTGTGTTGTGTCTTTACTTCAGCTTTCTTTCTTTAATTATTGGCTTTAGCTTCTTCTTTTTTCTTGTTTTGGGGGGTTTTTTTTTTTTTTTTGGTTGGCTTCTTTTACTTTTCATTTTTCTATGGTTTTTCTTGGTTGGTATTATTTTCTCGCCCCACTCCTCCCTTTGCTTTCATGCTTTATCCCACAGTGGGGCAGGGGAAAGGTGGTAGAAGAAATTCTCCAAATTATAGTTTTGTTACCGTGGTGGTTGGAGTAGAGCAGTGACGGTGACGGAGCCAGAAATATGAATAAGAGTGGCTAAAAATTTACGGTTTAAGGATTTTGAACAGAGGATGGGAGCTAAAGTCTTACCACCTATTCTATTTTTTCAAATTTGTTCCAGAATTTACACAATTTTAAGAGCTGAGGAGGGGGGCTATAACCTCTCCTGGTTATAACGTGGCTCCGTCACTATAGTAGAGTTGATTGTCGAGACAATAGATCAGGTATTGTCAAGAATATCATTTACTAACAGGCTTCTTTAAAACGGAAGCTGCTCGTATAGTTTTGAAGTTTTCAGAGGTCCGAACATCATATGTTTGATAGAACATATGGGGGTTATTGGGATTCGAACAGAAGACTCTTAGCCCAAAATCCTCTGATACCATGTCAAGAATCAGTTGATCCCAATAATTCGAGTTGTTGGGAGAGATTCAATTATCCTTTGTATACTATTTACTAGCAAGTACAATCACAATAACATAAAAATAGAAAACAAGAATTTGTTTAGTTGGTTTTTTTGATAAATTGTTATGAATTTGCTAATTAATTAATTACCAAAGTAATGTTTAGTAGAAACACTATATGAAAGGTATATATGCAGCTTTCTTCCATTACTTTGATTGCATGGTAGAATTTTGTTTTCTAACAATCACTCATGGAATTTTCAAATAGACCAACTTGTTATTACCATGTTGCTCAAGGTGTGCTTACACCAATTATTTCATAGTAGATGTCCAATCAACCAATAACTTAACTCCCCAACTATTGATTTTTCTAGTGACGAATTTTGGAAACTTTCCTTCCTGTTAAACAGAGAATTTCAAAATTATTCCATAGAGCACTCATGTATAATCCGGAGTCTTTTCCAAGTTTGAGAACAGGAAAAATATACAACAAGCACAGAAAAAAAAGCTACTGAAAACATAGATTCCTAAATATTATCGTGTCGAAAGATGTTTACAAATGACTAGAATTGGTGTTAAAATTTATTGAATAAAATTATCATATACTACAATAAAATTAATATAAAAACCAATTATACATTGCACACAACTTAAACATGTAACATCCATATAGTTTCACCTAATATATAGAATTCCACTAGCACCTTCTCATATGAACAAAATAGAATATCCCCCCAACCCCGTTTTCAGAGGCTAGCTAGCAACCAACATGGTTTGCAGGCGACCCATACTTTTTTTTATGACGAAGAACCCTTGCAGTAAGCATTGCTTGAATGATGTTGTTGTCCAGCAACGTCACTGACCATCGACTCGAGTCACTGATTGTCGACCAGTACAATAAGGTATTGAACCTGAAACCTCGCACTACAAGAAAAAGCATCTTCAGTCACGGGATCTATTTGTCACGGGTGCAGTCCCATGATTAAAAATGAATTATTTATCACGGTAAGATTTTCCCATGACCGTAAGATATTTAACAATAATGTGCGTAAGTAACCCGTGACAATTGATGGGCGGGAAGAAACCAAAACTAAAAGTTGCAATTGGCGGTATCCACAACTTTTTGGCCCTTGAAAATTTTCAAGCATCCCGCCCTCAACTGTTTAATAGGAGTTGTTCTTTTTAAAACAAAAAAATTAATCCACTTTCAAGAATTCCCTGACGGGTGACGAGCACAGCTCTCTCCTCACCTATACAAGCCCAGCTTCCACTTTATGCCGCAACAAAGCACCCCTCCAAACCCTTTGTCCCCAAGCCCCCATAATTGCTTTCCCAAATTTCCGACGCCTAAACCCCTACCCATCTCCAGATCTTGCCCCAGATCCCTCTTCCTAGCTTCAATTTCTACCGGCCACCATGTCCAGATCTCGCCCCCATATCCCTCTTCATAGCTTCAATTGTTACCAGCCACATCTCCAGATCTTCGTCACCGTCAATCTCAGCGCGATTCACCAACTCTGCTACCGCATCCGTTGTTTGTTCCCTGTAGTAGAGATTTCTGGAAGCCACATCTTATCCTCGGAAAGTGACTGTATTTGCAGCTTGAGCTCCACCACCCCAAATCCCTAATTCCACTGGTCGCGGTGGTCAGTTCTGCCTCTGGGCACAAGAAACTGCTTGTGCCTCCTCGCAACCTCAATCCGCCTCCAGGGCTCCCACCGCCATCGATCATCACCACCGTCCCCGCCACCTTCTCTTCATTTGGTGATGTGCTACCCACTCCTAGCTTACTATTAGCAGTGTCAGATTCATTAATTGACGGCTCAATTTGGGCTTTCACTTTTAATAGTGCTGATTGATTAATTGGTGGTCTTAAAAACAGGGCAATTTGTTCCTCAGGTCGTTTGTAGATGTGCCATGGTAGCCGAGTGCTCTGTTCCAATTGGAAAAGAATATATGATGTTAGGGGTTGTTACTTGACGTGTAACAATAATGGATTGCTTCTAGGTTTACATAAATTTTCAAGAAATAGACTAAGTTGGGAAATGTATTTGGTTTTGATTTCAGCCATACATGGGATAAGTTTTCTTCAGCTCTCTTCACTCCAGCACGCAGAGGGCCGAATTTGTTTAGGTTCACTTCTCTACTCAAAGGTAAGCATTGATGTAGAATGTGGTTATTGGTTTTGTGCTTGCTATGTCATAGTTCTATATCCATACAAGCAAAACTCCTCCACCAGTATTCATTTAACATTTGATTCATTGATTGGATCATGCTATCATCTCTTACAACAATTTTGCTGGCTCATAACCTATACATCCTATCAATTCCATTTATGAAAAGAACAGAGAGTACTTGCTGCAACTAATGGATTCTATGGAAAATGCCATATATATAAGAAGCCTAATGAATCATGTTAAGACACTTGCAGGTTGCTTGAGACTTAAAACGGTGGAGTCATATTTAATGAAGCTAAGGTTTTCAATGATTGGTTCACTAGTCTCGTTAGATTAACTTGTCAGGTATATTGATTTGATGATGTGAATAAACGAATGGGCTTATTTAGTGTAAACCACATATTTATATTCCAAAATGGTGTTGTTTGTGATGTATACAGGCTTGAAGCTTTTTCCAAGTGTGACTTCACCAAATGGTATCAGCAATAAATTGCCCGTGAAAGATGCAAGCCAAGTGATATATATATGCAGTTGTAAAGCCAAACTTTGGTACATACATATATCTTAAGGACGATCTTTTTAGGATATCAATTGTACATTTCACTTCTAATTTAGCCATTATAGCAAAGATCTTTAGCAATGTAATGGTCATCATGTTCATATATTAATGGAAGATCGGTGTCTATTGATGGAAAAACTATAGTGATGGTGACAATCTTAGCATGATAGTGTTGTGATCATTTGAACAAATCCAGGGGTTAAAACGACCTGTCACGGGGGAAAACCTTAGCAAACAAAGCCTTTCAATCACGGGTACGTCCCGTGTTTATTGGACAGTCACGGGATAACCAGTGACTAAAAGGGAATTTAATCACGGTATATTTACCGTAGTTATTCGTTACTTGTCACGGGCTATCCCGTGACCATTGACCTTTCATCACGGGCACGCTAGTCACGGGAATTAACCCGTGACGAATGGCATAGTCACGGGATTTGGCCGTTTGGTCACGGGAATTCCAGTGATGAAAAGTCTATTTTCTTGTAGTGTCGAGACGACTCGTCTTAGATCGTTTTACTGTTGACCTAGCCACCTCATTCGCTACCAACACTTTTTTGCAAGATTTCAGTCAATTATATAACTAGGGTTTTGGAGAAACCTATCTCCCAACACGCCCTAGCTTTATATCCCTCTTTTCCTCCCACTTCAGCTTTAGCCCACCACCAAAAGCATCGGAAAGTGCCGGCCGGAGGGAACAACTGTACGACCGGCGGGCTTCCCGCTTCAGAAAAAAAGGGACTCTTTCTCTTTTAAGCTAAGAAGTCAAATCATTTGCCGGTTGCAGCTAGCTAGCTGATTAACCTATGTAATTAACCTAGATTAATTACTTCAAATTTTGTACTTATCCCTCCTCAATGAGTGCATATTTGGACTGATCAATACTTTAGCGAGCCACATGCATACCTGTTACGATACGAGTCATTCGTAATAATCTAGAAATTTCCGAGCTCGTCTATTTTTAATAGTTTTATTAATTAGTTCGTATTTTATATTAATTATGATATTATTATTGTTTAATTGTCTTAGTAGGATTTAAATTATTTTCTAATATATTTAGGATTTTTGGTTATCTTTTCCTTGTGCGGGAGTAGTATTCATATTTTAGGTAGGAAAAAAGGAGATGTTCTATGCCTATAAATATGTACTCACTCTTTCATTTAATAATAATAATACGAGAAGACTGGGATCCAAGTAGCTAGCTAGATTTGTAGTTTGCCTTTTCCCGTCCTCTATTCCTCTTCGTTCTAGGTCTATTTCTCTTCGTCCTAAAGCAATTCTCGAGTTCCTTTGTTCGATTCGTCAGAGGCACGCGTTACGTGGAAGTTCTTAATCCGAAAAAATCGACGTAACAATAACCCATCCATCCCCACTTCAATGTAACTAATTAATAATTAACTCGTACAAAACAATAACACATGGGTAAACTAATCCCCTCGATCGACGAACATTCCCTCGAACCGCATCTCAAAAGCCGGCCCTTTGCCCTAGCTACCATTTACCAACACAAAAACATATACAGAAGCAAAAATTCCCTCCCTTATTACAGAACACAGCTCGAGAGAATAATCAATCAAAAGGACAGAACTTTATTATGAAATTAAATTGAGCAATCTAGTCTCGAGAGAATAATCAATCAAAAGGACAGAAGGAGGAGAATAATTTGGGGAAGACGATGAGATGTCAGACTGGTTGTTGTTGTGTCTCTCTACTGCCAAATCTTTGTCGGGGCTTGCCTTGTCCTTTTTTACTTCCCCTGTCATTCCCCTAGCTTGTTGTTTTCCCCCTACATGCATGTGCTTAATCTATGGCTTGCTGTCTTGATTAATACAAAATTAACAATTAATCACGGGTTTAGCTAGGTTGTCAGAATAGGATAGGAATTTGGAAGTCCAATACTCTTTGGTTTTACACTGCTTACTTAGGTAGGGAGTAGAGTGATTCATGGGATGACATTAACAAAGAAGAAACCAATATCCAAACAAACAAACCATGATTCATGTTACAAAAAAGAAATAAGTACCAAGACAATTAACAAGTACAGAGACAACATATTATATTATGGGCAAGCTCGTATGTATGTTTGACCCAAATCGGACGGTATCGTACTAATGGGGATTGTCCGTTATCAACAAGTGGTGTCGGAATCAGGTTCGGATTCAAGATAGTGCATTTCGGTTTGGTGGACCCTCGTTATGTGACCTTGTCGTGATTTAGATATGCATCCAGTGGATGGGATGGAATGGAGATTGGCAATCTGTCTGGCGGATGAAACGAAAATCTACATCTGATAAAATCCTTGTGCCGGAAAGTCTAGCCATACAAGGTGGTTGGCAGCCGGGTTGGCATACTAGATGGGAGAGCACGAAGTTCGTGATCCTTGACTTGAGGTGAGAATTTATTGAGGTATAATCGAAGTACCATAATATCGAACTTAAAAGGAAATGATCCTTCTGTATAAGCATTAACATAACTTTATGTAGAAGAGAAGATTTCGTGAAATGAAATGAGAAGACAAAGAGAATTAGGGATTTTGACTTCCTTCTGTCAATGATCCAAGTCTTTTGTCAATGAACCAATTGGACCAAAACCGAAAATTAAACCAAACCGAAATAAGCCTCAACAGACTGAATTAATAGGAATGGGCCGAGACTCTTTAGGCCCACAAGCAGAAGACCGCTTTCCCTTAACTCAAGCCCACAGCAGATCAGAGTCAGAGAAGAGCAATCAGTCTTCTTCTTCCTCGAGCCAGCCAGCCTGAAACAGAGCCAAGCAGAGTAGGGGAAACAGGAACAGAGGGAAATCGAAATGCAGAAAGTAAAGCGCAGAAATTAAAGAACACAGCGAGATTTTTAACGAGGTTCACCACAGGGTTACTCCTCGTCCCGGAATAGTACCCACTATTCCGAGAGACACTTTTGATTTTCTTTGACTCTAAGAAAATGAAAGAAGAAAAGAGTTTACAAGATGTGGTGAGAAAATCAAAAGGCCGGACACTCAACCCAAATCCGCGCAGGGATTTGTTACAACCTTTGATCGACTGAACCTCTACCTCAGTCTCAATCAAAGCCACTGTTCCTAACCCCTTTGCCCTTTTCCACAAAGAAGTCAATCGAAAACCAGCAAAGCCGAGAGCCAAGCATTCTTCATTTATATAGCCTTCAGCAGGGAGCCGTTGAGAACGCTCGCAGAAATGGAAGTTATTCAAATCTTCAATCAACTCCCCCTTGATTCAAGCATCAATTAACTTGATTCTCTTAAGCAATCTCTTGACTTGATTTGATTGGAAATCTTCGAGGCCAACAATCTCCCCCTAAGTCAGAGATTGCTGATTGGCCGATTGAATCCTGCAACCACAACTCAGAGAACCCAAAACACCACCACAAAAGCAAGCAAACACAAGTCCGAAAATGAAACTTAAATACCAGCTGGGACATAACAGGTCCAGCAAACCAGTCTAGTTAAGCAGACAAAGAGAAACTTTAGTCTAACAACCAACCTAGAACCGAGGACACACACACAAGTCTATCAAAACACAAGCATAAGGTTTAACAAGACACAGTCCAACAATCCACTCAGTTACTCAGATCCATACGCTTCCCTAAGATCAGCAAGGACGGTAGACAGAGACGGTGAGCTAGAGTCTGAATCATCAGAATCATCACTGTCGCTGCTAATCCATTGAACTTCAATATCAGGCCCAGGCTCTTCAGGTTCATCATCATCTTCAGCAGGTTCATCTTCTTCGCCAGAGTCTGAATCATCAGAATCTTCCTCCCCCTCAACGGCAAGCGCAATCTCGTCCAGAATATCATCAGCAGTGGGGTACATGTTTGGAGTGGTGACACGATAGGGATCCAAGGAAATTTCAAGACGGATGATGAGGCGGGTGATAAGAGGCCCAAAAGGCAGAGGGCTAAGATACTCAAACTGTTGAAAAGGATAAATGTGACCAAAGAGGAGGTGACAAAAATTGAGAGGAACATTGTGAACAGCATGAGTAAGGACCCAAAGATCAAGAGGGGTGACTCGATCAAGAAGAATTGTGCGAGGAAGAAACCTGCGAGTGATCAAATAATGCAGTGTGCGAAGAGAAGGAAGAAGCAGGGAGGTGGACAATGTGAGGTAAGCATCAGGCACATGACCAGTAAGCTGAACAAATTCTTGAACAATGTCAAAGTTGAATCTCACAAGTTCAGAGTCATGAGCCAAAGCTTCACCAAACATAGGGATATTCAGGAGACGCCCTAGGTCCTCTAGAGGGATGGTTACAAGGTGTCCAAAAATCAGAGTGGTAAAGGTACGGGTATGCATCCCAAAGGATCGAAAATTGGAGTAAAAAAGACGAACACCCTCAGGGCAAATGTGCTCAGGTGTGTCTTCTATCAGGAAATCCCAACCAAGATTGTGGATGAACTGAGAGACATCGAGACCATATTCCACAAGACCAGCAAAAGGAACATGATAAGTTGGAATGAAAGGACGATTTGCAAATGAGACTGAATGACGATGAAAGTTCACAGGGATTGGATCATGAAAAAGAGTACCTGTGAAGGTTTTTGAGAACCCGAGCACCATGACTAATGACAGGAAGGAGACCTCTAGACAACTGAGTGAATATGAAAGGAACTCGACTCTCAAGACTTAAATAGATAAACAAGTAATCTAAACAGGAAGAATTCAAAGAAGCAAGTCACACAAAACAAGGAAAGAAGAATAAATACAACAAAGGAAAGTAAAGCAGTGCATAATAGGAAGGGAAGTTAAGGAAGATCGTCCAGATTGTCTGGAGATCTTAACCCTATTTCATAGCAAAGGTAAGTGAATCGATCAGCATTCAAGGCTTTAGTGAACAAATCTGCCAGCTGATATTCAGAGGATATGTGATTGATGAGAATGGTGTTCTGTTGAACTAGATCCCTAATGAAGTGGTATTTGACCTCAATGTGCTTAGTTCGGGAATGCTGAACTGGGTTTTTAGACATACAGATGGCACTTGTGTTGTCACAAAAAAGAGGTATGGATTTAGAAGGCACATTATAGTCCCTAAGTTGGTTTCTAAGCCAAATGAGTTGGGTGCAGCAACTGCCAGCAGCTATATATTCTGCTTCTGCAGTGGACAAGGCTACAGCTCC